GACTTCATTTTTGAAAGCTGTGATGTAAAAATAAAAAGAAGAGCAAAACAACATTTTTTCGGCTGCTTCTAATGAAAATGGGCATTTTTTACCTTTTTTGAAATGGACTCGAGTCGCCAGCTTAGTTTCAAATGCTTATTTCGTCTCTATAAGTACTTGAGTGAAAAACTTCAAACCGCAGTCTTGTATGAACATTGATTTAAAAAGTAGCAAAAAAGTATCATAAGGTAAGATAAAACTATTATCGGTGATCTCGCGATCATCATGGAATTTATCTTGTTACGTTTATCGGGATGGCCTTTTTAATCTTTTGAGATTTGTTTCCAATATATAAAGTTCCCCTTCAGAAATTCTCAACAAAGTACAAGTTCAATGCGAACAAAATCTGGCAAAGTGATTTTGCAAACGTATCTTGAACAAAGGTGACACGACGCGCGAAAATCACATTCTATAAACTGAGCGTAAATGACTTGAGAGAAAGGTGACTTAAGTTGGGGATCATGACTGTTTGCCATAACGGACCCCAGCAAGGTTATTTTCCTTTTGTAGTATTTGGGGCTCATTCTATTAATTTTATCGTAGAAGCTCCTAATCAGCAGCATCTGGTGTGTGGGTCTTTGCTATCAGTTCGTGTGATTTTACACACATTAATCATCACTGAAGTTACTCATAGGTTTTCCTTTTATTAGGACGTTCTACAGGATGGAACTATGAAGTAACAAAAGGTTTTTGTCAGGTCATCATCAACAGAACGACCCATGAAGGAATTGTCGGCAAAGAGGATGAAATCGTTAGTGTTTTCCAAAGCCTTGGTTATGATGTTGACAAAGCAACATCTACAGCAAATGATGACGTCAAACAGTTGGTAAAACCCATAGCTGCAAGGGATTACGACAATAGTGATATTTTTGTTTGCTTTATACTGTCTAACCTTACTGAGAATTTGGAAATAGTAAGTTCAAAAGGGGGTGCATTCGGCGTTATAGATCTTATGACTAAGTTTAGCCCTCGGAATTGTCTTTCACTTTCCGAAAAACCGAAGGTTTTCATATTTTTAGTCCACCAAAAAGCTGCAGCACCAGCAACAATGTATTCTGTTGCCAGGAATGTACCTTTCCCTGGGATGTGCTTGTTTGTTCCTTACAGGAAAGGATATCTTTCTACTTTACTCACTGAAATTAAGTCGCGTGCTTCAGACCTTGATCTCTTGTCCATTTTGGAAGAGGCTAAGCGATCATTTTACCAAAAAAATAACATCACAATACCTGATCCGGTTCATAACTTTCCTAAAAAAGTGTTTTTGTGCCGAAAGGAGAAAAGTTTTAGTGTTTAGTAGATTAAAGTAGATGTAAGTTTGCATTTTAATGTAATCGTATTGAATGAAGTAATCCAGAGAACGTTTAATTGAAGTGTTCTTTAACTGATCAACAAGGCCGGCTTAGCAGCGAGTTTCGAAAAGCCCAAGATTGTCTTTTCCGTTTTCTTTAACGGTCGTCAGCTCTTCGAGATTCACTGGGGCGATTCGTCAAAAATTTTGGATGGAAAAATCCTTCATTTACAATACAATAATAGTAACAAATTAAGGGGTAAGTTTCTAAAGAAACTGTGGTGCTGCGTCATTGGGGGTAACAAGGTAATTTTGGTTTAATCAACTGAGTTGATAATGTGAATTGGTTACCCTGAAGAGTTTCAGAGCTGACGTTTCCAGCGTTAGCTCTTCGTCAAAGCGAAGAACGGAGGGCTAACGCTCGAAACGTCAGCTTTTAAAATGCTCACGGTTGCCAATTTATATCATCAACTCAGTTGATAATTGACAACTATTCACCGAGGTGGAGGTGGTTAGTGGTGGATATTTACCGCCGATCCGCGAAGTGGCAAGGTAAATATCCACGGCTAACCACCGACACTGAGGTGAATAGTTGTTTTAGTATATACTAAAACAGTGAGATAATATACTGCTTCGTCGTTGATTTGAGTGATTTCTTCGCTTGTCACGGGTGCAAACCGGGACGCCATTTTTTCCCGAGTTGCTCGGAGGTAAATAGCAAAGAATATTCGGAGTTTGACTAGTCAGTCAGAGCGCGACTTCAACGCTATCCACTGTTGTAGTATATACTAAAACCGAATACTAGTAACAGCAAAGCTGGCTTACGTTGTTATTGCACTAATAATACCAGTTAAGAATTTGTAAGGTGTTTCACTTGCCTGCGCCGGCAATGTTTCGAATCGTTTCTTTAAGAAATACTTTGTTGTGAGGTGGTACTTTGGCTTGAGGGTAATTATGTTATACGCTCTTGAAAAGCTTAGTTGTCAGCCTTTAGAAACGAGGCGACATGTAAACAAAATTTTATAGAATCAACTGCCAAGACTCATACAATTTTCAGTTTTTCACATAATTAGGAATTCCAGTCAGTGTCTAGTTAGGCCCACTTGTCCAAAGGGCAAGTAACACTATCCAACGGATAAATTGCTATCCAGCGAATAGCTGATGACAAAATGTTCTGCGCTATCCACCGAAGAGAGAAATTTATCTTAGTGAGTAGGTTTATCCACTCTTCGAACAATCGGGGCCTTATGTGTACTTAAAGTCTATAACGATAAAATACAGGAGTATCTAAATTCTGAATCGATGACAGCAATGAAAATTTAAACAGCACCAACAATAAAAGTGGTTGTCAACTGCATAGTTAGTTCTTGTTTGACTGTGGTGGCCGCTCAACCCTATTCCACACCGATAACAATAATTCCATTAATTCTTTTGGTTTTCCGTTATGGCTGGCATATTTGGAAATAGTGTGATCACCCACATTGTTTTGTTAAAGTAACAGTATAGTGCGACTGCTATTTATATGAAAAGCTGAATCCTACACGCATTTTGATTGTTTCTGTACTGCTAGTCGCAACAATCACCAGGGTTCCAAATATTTCCCAGTTACCTTGTTTAAAGCTGAATCTATTCGAAATCTATCACTCAGATTTGGATTATAGTTTAAAAAATATTGTAAGAAAGGGACAACTTTTTTGAGAGACATGTTTCGGCATGCTTATGCCATCTTCAATCAAGGACAATAATTTCACACCCATAACACAGGACAATAATTTCAAACCCACTTGTGTCTCCCAAATCTGCGTACTGGTTTCAACGATCTCATCAATGAATTACGTAAGGCATTGTCATGTCATAAAGACGTCTCTTTAAAGACGTCACATCAATTTCCTGTTAGAACGAACCAGGTTTCATTTGAACTATTGAAAGACAGACGCATTGATTTCAACATTGACATGATTCACAATATATTTTTTTTATCATAAAATAAAAACAGTTTCCAATTTGCCTGGGGTCTGTTCAGTAATAGATCAGAGAAGACGTCAAAATGTGGTAAGAACATCCGGGACACACTCAGCTGCACCTCATGTGCGCGTGCGCCACTTTTTTGTACTTATCACATTTTGATGCAGCTCCACAGACCGCATGCTAGGTACCCGTCATATGTAATCTTAAATCTCACGCACTTTTGAGGGGTGGTTACGATACTTTGGCAAAAGATACTTTGAAAATCATTGCTACTTTAGAAAATTGGCTGACGCCAGCGAATGGAAGCGCATTAATCTTTCAAAGGGGTAGTACTGTACAGAGGGACCACAATAGGGGTTCTCAAATCCCGCTTTCCCGCCTTTTTTCCTTCTCAATCCCGCCATCCCGCCCCTTTTTACGCCCGGATCCCCATCCGGCCCCATTTTTTTTACGACGAGACTTTTGACATGTTTTGCTTGATCATTGAGATAGGCGCAGTTGAATATTTTTATAGAAACTGCGCGGTATAAATTTAAATTCAATACTTTAATAATAGGCATTATGACTTACCTTCTATCAATTGTCAGTATTGATAATCCGGGTTCTCAACATCACAATTAGCGACCATAACTTTATTTTCTGTTTTGCTTAATTATTTTTTGGTCCTCGCATCGGTACATGGTTACCTCGATACTTTAAGTCCAGTATTTTTGGAATTAGAAAGATTGATGTTATCTGTCTGTCTTACGAAGATTCGACTGCTTTGCTGCTAGTCTCCATCAGGCGTTAAAGCCAATTCTGTCAATTGTTTACATTGAGTTTAGGACATGGAAATTGTATATAAACACACTGGTCTCTTTTAAGAAAACATAAACCTGCTATTAAATCTAACAGCACGACCAAATGCGGACACCCTTCCAAGCAGGAAGTTTGCTTCACCATCCAAAGTGGCGACCCTTACAGATCCTTCTCCTACTTGGTCTTCGGTTTCTTCTTCTTCCGCACTGCTACTTGTATCATATTCGTCAGGAAGGCCGACATCTACTGTTAGGTCAACGCTTTCCCCTGGCACAATGTCTTTCTCGTACAAGAAATCGGGGAGCGGTACAGCCCTAGCCATGGTCGTTTCTTGTCGGACGGTTCTTTGACGAACTACAGCCCCAAAGGTATGTGCCCATTCCCTCATAAGCTGGGCGTCTTGGGCACTTATTACCCCAGGTGGAAGTTGTGGTGCTAATGAAATTTCAATAAGTGCCGCTGCGCGATCTGGACCGGGATACCACGACTTTGGGTTGGTATCATAAAATGCCGCCCAGTCTGTTGTCCTCTTTACACTGTCCTTGACAGCTTTTCCGAAATTCCTGGCATTTTTTTTTTCAGTCAACGCTAATGAATTTTTAGTCAAGACAAAACTAAATTCCCGTATCCCGCTATTTTTTCCTTACGATTCCCAAATCCCATCCCCACAAAAATAGGAAATCCCGTTCCCGCTGGCTGTTAAAATTCCCGCAAACCGCTTCTGTTTTCAGCTCATATCCCGAATATCACCACGAAAAATAGCCAAATCCCGCATCCCGCCAAACCTATTGTGGACCCTCTGTACAAGGAATTTACAAAGTCCCACCATACGACATTAGCCTATAATTATTTTCAAAGCTCATATTACCCAACTGCTTGACCCACGCACGAGCTTCTGCAAGGGAGCTGTTGTGCGCCTATCCCTAGTTTAAAACCTCACAGAGTTCACTTTGTAATTCTGAACGTGAGCTTCGAGGTGATTTGGCTGAGGAAATCATTTGGAGATTTAAAAAGACAAGGAGGACACAATATAAAGGTCAGTGACAACTCAGGCGAAAAATTCATAGTCGCCGAGGTGCTGTATTATTGTACAGCCGTTTTCAATGTTTATTCATTTGAAGAGTCAGACTATAACAAACGTTCAAAGGCCAATTAAATTTTTAAATGATCTTTCGACAAGCTGATGAAAAACGTCTGAAGTCATTGCCCGTCTGGAAAGCGAATCAGTAAAATTTATATTGACTGGGAGAGAGAGCTACTGAATTCAGGTTTGTTCTCCCAGAATTACTTAACCTTGATATCAGACTTGTCATTTAAAGGAGATCCAGACCATTCGTGTGGTTATTGATGCCACTTTAGAGTCGGTCGAATTTCTGCACAAGTCTCTTATTTCAACGAAGAAATTTAAATGTCCTTCGTCCGTTCGTAGATTTCTCTAAATAATTGCGTGACAGCGAAATTAGAATGTCACGTTATGTAAACATCGTATTTTTCCAGGGGAGGGGTGTTAAAGGATTCTTTTATTGAGAACAAAGCAAGAGCTAATTTGATTGCTGGTCTTGAATTTATGTAAATTCTTTAGAATCGGCTCAAAGTGAAGAATCGCTAAAAGAACAGGACCAGGCTGTATAGAAAAGTAAAATGGCCGGAGAAATCTCTAGCGCAGCTGTGGAAACAGCGACAAGGGCCGCAATGGACTTGTCTCTGTCAGGGGGAGGATTTTCTATTTCACTCAAGATTGACAATCCCTGGTTAGCGGGAGCTGTGAGCATTGGTGCATTATCGTTAGGTGCTTTCTATCTTGTCTGTAAGGGGCCCGCTGAGGGTGCCATAAGAAGAGCCTTGGAAAGGAATGTATTCGGCGATGTGGATCCTGAAGTTACCGATATTACAGATGGACATTCCATCTTGGTGGAATTGCATTGTCGCTCAGAGATGAGTCTGTTAGTATTTCTGGAAGACTATCAGTCGAAAACAATAAAGTTTAGATTGGAAGAGGAGTTAAAAAAAATTGGTTTTAATGATCAATTAGAAGTCGTTATACGGAATAAGGAAGAAGTAAACAAGAGAGCAACAGAGATAAGGTAAGGGTTTAACGCTTCGACTCTCTATAGCGATCAAGCAGTAATTTCTCCTTGCAATGTAAAAAAACTTTGAAGCAAACAAATGATGAGAATAAAGAAACATAGCAACTGATAGACATTGTTTGATTGTACTACACCAAATTCTCAGAACTGACTTCGCAAGAAATGAGTGGCAGAATTTAAGGAGAGTTTCTGTTAAGATCAAAGAAGTGAAAGGGTTTATGAGTGGGTGCTATGCGGTTTAAGTTCAGGGAAAAATTATTTCGTTGTGAGGTTGATTAAAGCAAGATTCAATTTGAAATATATTTAAGATAACTCTGCGATGATTTTCGTTAAAGATTGGCGACTTGCACAATTGATTTCTGGCGCAGGAAACTTACTGACAAGGAGTTGACTAAAAGTTGAATGGTGAATAAATGGAGAGATAAATGCGTGCAGGCTTGAATTATTGATAACTGAATGAGTTGAAAAAATTATTTGCTGCAGAGAGAGGCGAGCTACACATACAAATATTTCATCTCGAGAAAACTGGTATCAAAGGTATGAAGAACTCGCAAACATGATAAACAAACTGTTTAATATGCAAGCGCATGTTCCTCGGCAAAATGAGAGGCTGACGATTCCGAGAACCAGAGAACCTTTAATTCAGTTACAACAGTTGGAGAAGGTCTTCAAGGAATCAATCGCAAAGTTGAAGAAGTCAGCATTCTGGCCCTCTGTTGGCCTGCAGAGCAGGCGTTCTAGATTCCCAATTTACGAGTTACATGCTCACCTTCTTAAATATCTGCCCTTTTAATTAAGAAGACTTCTCTCGTAAATTTCCTTTAACTCTCTTCTTCCATTTTATGTTTTCTATTTCAATGTTTTAACGAAGAAATACTTGATCAGCAGGGATTTGCTAAAGCAAAGGCATAGAAAAAACCAGGAAAGATTTATTACTCGACGTTTCGGGGTCATCGTGACTCCATTATCAAGAGACTAGTTTAAAAACATGCAAATAAGGAAAGGTACAAGAATAGCATAAATTAGACTGAACGGCTTAAACAAACACCTTGGCGCGGATGGAATCCGTTTGCACGTTCAGTGTTGGCTTACGCATGCGAATATACAACATTTCATTAACAAGGCAATCAAATTTGCCGTTACATTTCGTGATGACGTTGAATTGCTCGATCAAGCGTTCAGGCATTTCACTATTGTGCTGGAGGTGGTAGTGTTTGTAGATAGAAGATGATTTCCTTGTGTGCCCTTCTACGCGCTCGTGTAAGTGACCACGAGTATNTGGTCACTTACACGAGCGCGTAGAAGGGCACAAAAGGAAATCATCTTCTATCTACAAACACTACCACCTCCAGCACAATAGTGAAATGCCTGAACGCTTGATCGAGCAATTCAACGTCATCACGAAATGTAACGGCAAATTTGATTGCCTTGTTAATGAAATGTTGTATATTCGCATGCGTAAGCCAACACTGAACGTGCAAACGGATTCCATCCGCGCCAAGGTGTTTGTTTAAGCCGTTCAGTCTAATTTATGCTATTCTTGTACCTTTCCTTATTTGCATGTTTTTAAACTAGTCTCTTGATAATGGAGTCACGATGACCCCGAAACGTCGAGTAATAAATCTTTCCTGGTTTTTTCTATGCCTTTGCTTTAGCAAATCCCTGCTGATCAAGTATTTCTTCGTTAAAACATTGAAATAGAAAACATAAAATGGAAGAAGAGAGTTAAAGGAAATTTACGAGAGAAGTCTTCTTAATTAAAAGGGCAGATATTTAAGAAGGTGAGCATGTAACTCGTAAATTGGGAATCTAGAACGCCTGCTCTGCAGGCCAACAGAGGGCCAGAATGCTGACTTCTTCAACTTTGCGAAAGGGAAGTGTCTTAGCCGAGACAAACACCCTGTCGTAACAGCCACGAATTATTTTTCATAAGTATGTTCAAACGTGGTTTCTCGGTTTTTTTTTTTGTGAGAAACAAAGAAACCGCGTATATGTTAACTAGGCAATCACAATGGTATTCGAAAGACAACGATTCTTGATTCAATCAGTCTGTGTATTAATGAATGAATAACTTAATGAATGAGTTATTTCAAAATGAATGAATCAATTTGCATTCGATCAGACATTAAAATCTCCCCTTGTGAACTCACTTCGAACCACCTATTTTATTTTCCTGTTCACGTAGGGTTCAGAGGGTTACAAGAGATAGACATGGAGACAAAACAAGCCATCGTTGACCTGCTTAACAAGAAACGTCTTCCTGGCCTGGCGTCGTGGAAGCATGTGGCACGAAGGTATGGAATGAGAGAAAAGGAAATCACCTATCTAGAAAATGCAAAAAACCCAGCCGGAGCCATGTTGGAGAATCTGGTCTCCCTTTCGCCTAATATCACCGTTTATTACCTCTGCAAGACCTTTAAAGAGTCTAGACTCAGACGGATGGATGTGATTAACGTCCTGTTGAAGCATGTAGTGACGCCCGTGTGAAATCGTTGGCACCGACCCTAATTTTTCACGCTCAATCAAGTCATGACAGCTGTCTAAGGTTGTGTTTTGTCTTTCACTTTAAGAAATAGTTCGTAGCGTGTGCAGCCCCTCCAGTGTTATTTTATTAATACAAAGGCAGACACAAGGTAGAGAAAAATAGAAGAAATTTTATTGCTTAATTTGGTTAAAAAAGTATGCATTGTGTAAATAGTATGATAGTCCTACAACAAGTTAGGATAAATATACCAAAAAATTCAGCTTTCAATATTGATACCAAAGCTGAAAAGGCACTGGGAATGAGAATGACCCACGAGCAGCCTCTGTCCCAAGTCCTTGCTGTCAAGTGAGCCGATGGTCATGAAAGTTAATTTTCGTGCATTCGAATGAGTGCAGTCGATCCTCGATTGCAATTAACAAAAATTTTTCTGTACTTTTCCTTCTTAAGTAAATGCTATTTCATATACTACATCATGTGTGCCTGTTTTACTGTCCAGGTGTTTTACAACATTAAGTAAATTTGATTAACATTTTTTCAGCTGATGGCTGAACTTCACGCAACAACTGGCAATAGTTGGTAACCACTCACTTGCAAGGGTAATCCATAGATATTCCGAAATTCCACATTCAGACCCTAACTATTGCCTGCAATAATACCACAGCCAGCCCATGCAAACTACAACCTACATCAAAATTTATAAACATTTTTGTGATAGCTGAAAACAGAATTTACACTTGCTTACATAGCAGGCTCAGCTAAATGACGTTAAATACAAACAGTAGTTGTTGTTGTGAATGTATAATACTTTCACCTGAAAAGTCTAAAATCTTACAGCCAAGTTACTGAGTATGTATGGAAAACTACTTAGAAAAAGAGATTTCCCGAATTCGATAAATCAAACAATAACCAAATAGCAAAATTTGAAAACTCTGTAAGTAGAATAAATGAATAAAACAATTTGGCTGAGTTATCTATATTTTTTTGCCATTGATGCATTCCGTTGACTCTGCCACACTTATTTTTAAACCATTTTCCACAAATATACTTGTCTGTCAGGGAAAATGTGAATTTCAGTCAACATCTTTTCCAGTTGACTGAGTCCTAAAAAAATTACTTTCTCAGTGGAGTGTCTCAAATTAAAAAACCTGACCTTATGGTCAAACAGACCCTAAAATTGTAAATGTAATTCACTACGTAAAAAAAAAAAAAAAAAACTTTAGAGACAATATTTAATCACAACCTCGGTACTTCTACCAAATTTCATTGAAAATCAAGCAATGATTCCTATCTTAGTTTGTGAATGCAGAATTGTATGGAAATCTCTAACCTATCGCCTACGAGTGGTGCTTTCCCCTTCCCGTCTGGATGCGATGCAAGATATGGCCAGATGCACGATTCAGAACCTGATAATGAAGTCTTGTGCTAACTCACCTCTCACATATCGGCCAATTATACCACGACATTTTCCTGCCACAGAACTGGAGGCCACATTTGTTCATTAAAAAACGAGAAAGGATCTTATAAAGTTCACCAATAAAAGCATCGTTACGAAGTTTCGAAAAATTGGCCAATCAGAACGAACTAAAATACTCGAGAAAACGGTGAGAACAAGCAAATGCCTAGAGTGTAGGAAAATTGCGTTAGTTTTAGTTTTTCACCTGATTTGTTGAGAAAATGTCACGTCTTTTCTAGAACAATGAAACAGTGAAGTAAAGCAAATCCAATGTAATGCGGATTACTTTGGACACTCAAATAAAAACTGTACTATTTGTTCATATGCTCCTTGGTTTTCCTCTCCACAAATATGACCGAAGTGGTGACACATGAAAACGCTCTACACATGTACGTTTCCACTTGAAACTGGAGTTGTAAGACAACCTAACAATTCTTCGACAATGTCAAAACGCCGGATGTCGGGCATTTTAAGATACTTGCAGAATTCATAGACTGTGAGGTTCGGGTTGGTTCGTGCTAGGAAGTCGACTACTACTTTTCCAGCCGGCTCTTGACTGCTTTCAAGCGAACCTATAACATCCTTCTCCATCTTATACTTGTAGGCGAGTTGTTTCCAGGTCTCCGGAAGCCCGGGTTTTTTCTGGGTCAGAAGGTTTCCAACCCTTTCTTGAATATTGACATCTATATCCCTGAGACATTTGTACACTGAAAGGGAAGAAACCAGAGGAGGGAAGGATTGCTTCCTATAAAATAGTTACATGGCGAAATATTTTTGGAATAAATAAAGTAGAAATAAAGATATAAAGTAGCTCTCTATTTAATAAATACATGACTGAATAGGTCGACTAATAAAGGTTATAAGTCCTCAGACAGTAAAGTTAAGCTTCATTATGAAGACAAACCCCATAATACAAACCCCAGTTTGTACTGTAAAGATCACGTTTTGGCAGCAACTTTGCTGTTTCTTGTGAAGCATTAGCGTCTCAAAGATAACAGCTGATCCGAGGTCCAAAGAGGGCCAGTAGTAATAGTTATCATTGATATAATTTTATCACGCAATTTTTAAAGGTATAAATTTGTGAATTTAGAAATCTGGAAAAAGTCAAACTTTTTGTGGTCTTCTTGATACAGGAAAAGCAAAGAGTCATAAAAAGTCACCAATCGGCCGTCCATGGACTAGGACATAGTGCCCAATCACTTGTTTTACTGATTCAATCGACCGTCATGATTTATGTTTACTTCAGTTTATTTCAGAATATTTTTAACGTGTTACTATGCAGTGAAATATGAACATGATTGCACGGCTACAGTTTCAGTTGTCTGGGGCAAACAGCACTAAATAATTCGCATAAACAGGAACACATATATTTAGCAATTATACCACGAGCGCGCGTTGGATATGAGATGATAGATAGCCAACGAGGCGCGTAGCGCCGAGTTGGCTATAATCATCTCATATCCAACTAGCGCGAGTGGAATAATTGTTTTATTAAAAACGCCCCCAAGAAATTATTGTTTTGTAAGAAGAAACCGGATTTTTTAGCTCCCTTTTGATTTTAAGCTGATGCGTATGCTTACCATATTTGTAGATTATGGTATATTGGCTCATATACCATAATGGCTAAGCCAATAAAAAGTCTTGAATTGCATTATCCAATGATCCAGTTTTTAATAAATCACAAATAGTCAACTAAGCTATCAACTGGTCGATGAATTTTTCAGAGAGGATTTTTTGAAAACTTGTCAGCAGTATTTACGATTTTAGAAAAGCTCCATGGAAATTACCGGGCCATTCAATACTCATTAACGTGTACAACACACGAATGAATTTATCACAAAAGTTTCCATTTTACACGGAATTAAAAAAATCATTATTACATCCTTTGTGAGATCACTGGTGATCCTTGCGATCTAATTGGCTCCCAGCAGTGCCATTTATTCACAACTTGCGCTGTTTTTTGCTCAAAATCTCATCTTTTCCCCAGCTACTAAGAGAGCAACTCATAAAAAAAAACAATAAGACTACCCCTATAAATCAATGTGACACTCACCCATTCCATCACGTGGTGCAACGTCTAGTTCTGCAGGGAAAGATTCCACACAATTACTGTAACCATCGCCATATTTAACTTGGCATTTGTAATTGCCATAGTCCATCACCTTAACGGGATTAAAAACAAGGGAAGAGTTTCTTTGACCATGCATCATGGAGGCATCTTTGAACCACTGATAACGTGCTTTTGTCTCTCGGGAGATGTTGCATTTAAATTCCGCTCGTGCACTTTCTTTCTGCTCTTGATAATCAGGTTCCAACTGTACCTCGAGAGACTCTGCTGCGACTAAAAATCAAATATTTTACATAAGAATTGTTTACCAAATATAGCACATTCAAAAGTCTTGGAAGGAAAGGTCCCCTAAAGGTCTCCTCTGTAACTATGCTCGGTGAATTTACAAAATGATAACTCAAACATACCTGTGCTCATAAGTTTCTTATTTTTTGTATCCTCGTCTGCCTCCGGATCCTGAAAAATTCAGTCATATACAATGTTAAGTAAAATGTGCAATGGTGATGGTTTGATAGCGTACTGTAGAAATATAGTTAGTAACTGTTAACTACCTGTGATATTCTAACTAAACAACAGAGTGCTATCACTTCTATAAACTCTTATTATTACAATGTTTTAAAAAATAAGCATGCAAACAAATAACAAGTATTCAGTAGTTTATTTATTGACTACCACACATTGATAATTTAATTAATCCATTCACTGCATAATTAACATGTATCAGTTATTCGTAATAAATAAATGATACACAATGTTCTTTTTAATTTTTCTATAATACGAATACTTTTCATGTGCAATATTAACATTTATTACACCGTCTTAAGTTACACTACATGGCTTTTATATCAATATTTAATTATTTATTTTACTTACATTGTTTACGATCTAAGTATCTCGAGCAATTTTTTTCTTACTTTGTTTTCTACCTTAGATATCAACACTGCTTGCTCCATCTTACAGCTAGTTGTGCTACTTTATTGTAAAGACTATACTCATCAATGTTGGTAACAAAAGAAATTTCAGATAATAAAGGTTGCCCACAAATAAGTTGATTATAAATACAAATGCATTAGTTCAAAGAAAAATGTTACTACTACGTACAAGATAAATGAGCACTAACAGCTTAATAGTCTTCATTTACTTGTTAAGTCATACATTTTATAATCCAGTCGAAATAAGGTAAAGAAATTTTTATCATTCATTGAAATGGTGCAAAAGATATAACCACTACTTGATATGAAGAAACTTGTTGTAACAACTTGCCCAAATAGAGCAAGGTATTATTTGAAGGATATTAATTGGCCATGCAGAGATACAAAATTGCTGTGCGAGTGTTGAAAATATTTTGAGTGAACAAAGAAAAAATTTTAATTTAGATATATATACTTTTTACTCAAATATTGTAACATAAGATATGTATTTTTATCTTGTGAGGAAATAAAGACTACTACTACTAAAGTGAAATACAAACAAAGTGAAATATTTATAGACATGCAGCCATGTAATATTCTATTATTATTGTATAAAAATGCACCAATGAAAAACCAAACCATTTCACTTTTGCTATGAAACGCATGGTAAATTATGTAACCATGTACAGTTATGGTGTTATTTTCATGTAAGAGCTAGGATATCATATTTTTAGTTTCACGTGTGTAGATAACATGTTTTTGCATGAACACTGACCTGGTATTTTATTTTGTGTTTATAAAAGAAATTACATATAACGTACAATCATCTACGAACATGTTCAAGCCAACTTCATAAAACAATACCTCTCCTGATAATAATGGCTCAAAATTACGCTCTTTTGAAAATCTTCTTTTAATATCCGCGAGACTTGGTCTCCTAGGCCTTGCTGAACCACCACCTTAAAATTTTAGATCATTTATACATGGATTAATATACGTACATGTAACAAGCTAATTTGCAACTTTGCTTATAGCCTTTAACAAAGATCACAGAAGAGGTATCATGATGATGTACTTGTCTCACTTGCGTTTGAAAGCATTGTCATGTAGTTTACAGGTTACAGACATTTGAATTTGATAGTCACTACTGATTTCAGTGCAGTATTTGATGTTGCATGAGCCTCTAGACCTTTGAAAAATATGTTAGTTACTTGATGTTAAGTTTGAAAATTTTGTCATTAGTGTTAGTGTTAGTGAAGCAAAACAGCTGGTAAGTTTGTTACGTTTGAGGCAAAAATTCTGAGTATGGATCGATGGAAGATTTATTTGTAAGCTTTGGAAGTTCTGTAATTTTGCCAATTCATGGAATTAATCATTTCCTTTTACACACCATGTGTGTAGCAATAACTTATTATTTCTCTAGATCCGTTTTAAGGAATAAAGTGTAAGTTTCTAAACCTTTTAGAAACAAGTTGTAGTGTCCCTCCAAGAGCTTTGACAATTTATTCATATGGTTGAAACACTTCAAAATACAAAAAATTAAATACAATTTTTGCTGGAATATTTAAAAAAGGGATTGATTTGAAATCCAACTCCTCCAATTATTTCAGAGCTACAGTAAACTGTATGCACAAAGCAAAGTTACATCCAATCAAATGTATAGAAACTAATGAAAGTTAAACTCAGGTGAGCTATTTACAAAATTAAAAACGAACATTTGAGAAAGCAAAGGACAAATTAATAACTTCATTTTAGGTTCATTTTATTAAAACTATACCAAATTTTTTCCAATCTGAACTGAAAACACAATGTGTCAATCCCTATCAAGAATTAACTGGCATTTGGTTGATAATTATCATCCAAATAGTGTAATAAAGTACTTATGTTTTATTACATAAAAAAATGACAATGTATAATTGATACATGCAGGTAACTAGTTTCTATCAACTTGAAGTACTAACCTTGTGGTTCCTCTGGATCCTGAAAGAGATAATATTAAACTGATTAAACATATATTGAGGTTACAGCTGCTCCCAATTATTATACCTGACTTTACTTTATTTCCAGAATAGTAATCAAAAACTGTGAAACATAAATACTAACTAATGCATATTGTAAAATATATAATTACATAATCATAATAAACATAAACACTGAGAATGAATTAAACTGCATTTTAAATTTAAATGTCTTATACTTTCACACATAAGATAGCGATATAACAATTAAATTTTCAACTCAGAAGATTGCAATTCTGGTGCTCTGATTAGTTTACTCGACTGCGGTTATCAGCTCATATTCCAAGTCACCTTTAATGCGGAAATGTGTTGTGCTAACTGAGGCCGAGCTAAAAAAAACAAAAAGCTCCAAATATCCAAAAGTTAAGTTTTAATGACATTTATTAATAATAAACAATTATTCCGTTCATAATTGTTGGATATGAGATTGGTTCAAGCCAAATTGGTGTTATGCACCTCATTGGCTATCAACCATCTCACATCCAATGTGTGCCCATAGAATAATTATTAAATATTTGTCACTATTTTGTGGGTTAAGTATTTTATATCTAGTTACTTTTGAATACTTGAATGAAAATTAAAAATGTTACTGGGATTTGTAAACATTTTTCCATGTTAAGTTTTATAGTCATTTAAATTGATACTGATGTCATGTAAAGCTATAAATAATTTAAAATATATATATTTAACAAGAAAGACAGTCACAATAGTTATATGAATTGTAGATCAAGCCAATATTTCATAAAATAATACCTGTCCTAATAGAGCTTGATAACTGTGATCTCTGGAAAATTTCCTTTTAATTTCTACAAGACTGGATCTCCTTGGCCTTGTTGAACCAGCACCTTTAATAGATTTGAAGTGCAGTTGACATAATTATTGATTCAGTAATGCCATCACTAGTAAAGTGCAAAACTTACAGGATGCTCATTGGCTGAAAGCCTATCAACTAATTCTGAACAGTGTAAGGTGTAAAATGTGGGGTTTGAAGTACAGCAAAAGTTATTACAGAACTTTATAGTATACGTAAATTAGAGTTTTATGCAGCTATAGTTAATAAAGTAAAAATGTGTATCTTAAACAACTGAAAGGAAACTCAGTTGGTGAACTATGCAACAAAATTAGAAAAAAGTTTACAAAATTAAGGAACATACGATTTCCATGTTTCAAGTGGGAACAAGACCAAACTATATCATAAAATCTAGAACAAATATAACTATACAAAACTTTTCCAAAAATGCAATGACTGTGTGTACCATTTTTATCTTGTCCTTTGGTCTTATTACAGTCATTCTCTGTGGATTCTAAAACACTCTCACTGGCACTGTCCATTGAATCCAAGGGCAGAGGACCTACCACATCATGAGTTAGACACGGCGATTCCTCTTCTTGTTCACTGACATTCAACTGGGGGGGTACATAGCTAGAAAAACTACCATTTTCCACTGAAATAAATTTAATATGTTTGTATGAATTAATCTACATACTATTAGCTAAAGGAGTTATATGTACATTTCAGATAGCTTAACTTTTCTGTTAACTTATCACAGAACAGCAAGTCATGCTTACAGTCCTGTAGAAATATTTTATTCCAATTACAAGAAAAATAATGGGATGGGAATTAAACAGCTAGGTTTAGGATATGATGGCAGGGAGGATGCAGTGGTGAGAGTGCTCACCTCCCACCACTGTGGCCCAGGTTCAATCCCCAGACTTGCATGGTGTCACCTGTGGGTTGAGTTTGTTGTTGGTTGTTGTAGTTATTGCAGTGCATGGTTACAGTACACAAGAAAAGCCACCTTGTGGAATGTCCACTACTAAATCCCCATTTTATTTTTATTTTATTTTATTTTATTTGATGGCCAGTGTATGAAGCTAACATAGCAGTTCCCTTCATGCTTCCCTGTATGCACAACAAATGAATGACCAGGAGAAGCGGGAAAAAACAGTTGGGAGTAAATGTAAGTTTGATAAATTAACCCTTCATAGAAAGTAAAACTTTTATGCGCCACTGGATAAGTCTGGTTACCATGACAACATAATCATAATGTTATCTGCAAATGGTACATTCACTGCCCACATGTTTTTGAAACAGGCACAATTATGGTATTTCATCAATTGTGCCTGTATAATGATAAGATATTTAATATACATTTTGAAAAATTCTTATGATTAAAGCCCCAGCTATGTGGGATAGTCTTGCCTTCTGTGCAGATAATATTAAGATAACCATCACCTTCAAAGAAATTTGATCATGAAGATACAACTATACAACACACCTGCATGCATTACAGTATTTCCATTCTCTACCATACTTGTTTGCCTCCTGCTCTTTTTCCACCAAATCAAGGCTCCAGCAAATAAAGCTATTAAGACAATACCACTTAAGACACTTAATATGGTATTCCGGGTCCTGCTCTTAGTAGAAGCACCAGAAACTATTCCACCAGTCACAGGGTGGGCTGAGCCCAAGGTTGTCCCAGTGGTTAGATGTGGAGCACAACTCTTATCCAATCGAATTCTGCAATATTGACCAGTAACATTGAAGCCCTGTTTAGTGCACTCTTGCTGAGGCTCATCTTTATTGTCAAAGCAACAATATGAACATTTTTCACAGCTGTGAGAGGTGTCAACAAAGAAGTATCCTTTAGCACAAGTTTTACTGCAAATTCTGTCAGATGACTTGGTGCAATTGGAAGATGCTATCTGGTGAGGAGCACATTGTTGACAGTTTTCACAAGGGGATGAGTCATGCTCAGCAGAAAATGTGCCTGAAAGGCAATCTACGCAAGATATTTGCTGTTCAGTTGTAATCTGCCCACCACATAGAGGATCCAGTCCTTGACCAGGGGGACACGTATCACAAGAAAGGCACCTTACAAAGCTCCCAGTTGAATTGACAATGGTGTAGTAGCCATCAGGGCAGATTTTGCAAAAGACATGTTGTACTTCCTAGCAAGAAGAAAAAGGAGAAAAATGCAATTGATAACCATGGTTTCCATCATGTCAAATTTCACCAAGTTGCCAACTAAGAAGTTTAATAGTTCCCCTTAGCCCTTTACACTCTGACATCAGTATGCATACTCTCCATACTGTTCTCTACACATTTTTTAAGGCGCTGACAAGGAGAATTTGTGTAAAAATCAAGAGCTTCTTAATTTTATGATAATTTTCTTTATTCTCATGACCTTGATGTGTGATTCTGGGGGTGATATTGTAAGGAGAATTAGATGCTAGTCACTCTTAGGGGTCAAAGTATTGGAGTTTCATTATATTCATTCATCAAATATTCTTCTGAATAATTGTTTGTCAAGTATGTAGGTCAGCACCCCAGAAAAATGTTTTGATTTCTATGGTCCACCATTTTGTGAAAGTCTTTTGGCTGCTCAGGCAAAAAAGAAAAATATGGTACAAAAAGAAAGAGCTAGAAAGAAAACAGAAGTGAGAGAGCCTGGTGCAGGATGTCAGAAAAGGGAGCTGGAAGATTGTGTCAGTAATGCTTATCATTTTCTAATTTTAATTTATAATATTTTCATAACAATTTTGCAGGCAAGTCAGCTGTGTAATTAGAATTTTTTTCAGTCTACTCTTTCTTAAAAAAAGAGTTGAACAAGTGATAGAAGTGAAAGATTTTATGGAGTTGATAAGCAGAACAGTACATCTTTGTAAAGAAATTATACATATTTCAATTTTTAAACAAAACTAATGTCAACAAAACTTGCAAAGAAAACTTCCCAAACGGCAAGTTAAAATACAAATAACAAGTGAAAATACTCAGTGATACGACACACCAAAATGTCTGAAAAGACATATTTATTCAAATAGAGCCAAATTTAGTCCCACCACAATTTGCTGTTTCTATTTTCTTCAAGAAGTGATGAAAGTTCATTGTCATCTAACTGCTTTATCTTATAAACCACGATCAATATTTGACAGCCATTCCGACTTTTGGTTTTTGTAACTTTAATCCAATTCCAGACCTGCCAACTCTAACGGTTCTTGGAATTTAGAACTTGGAACTTATACTCCCAAATAGCTAGGCTAACACTGGGAGATATAGAATAATTAATTATTATTACACGACTCGGGAAGTCAGAGGGCCAATAACTAAAATCAAGCAATCAAAATGCTCTATTGCCGGTCAATATTCTCTCAGTATTGGACCAGGGTCCCGTATGATACCGCACTTGTGTCCCTTTGAACTTCAGTCGTGTAATAAATCTCTTATTAACCAAGCTTGCTTGGGACCATACTGGAAGAATATCGGCCCTCGGTCTTTTTTGTACGAACCTCGCTGCGCTCGGTCCGTACTGTCAAGACCTCGGGCCGATAATAGGGACCTGAAATTTCTTGCATTGTTTAAAACAGTGGTAAAATGGAATGGAGTGAACAGAAAGACATTCTCCTGTGCCATGAAGTCTTGCAGGCTGAGCCATACAGGGCTAAAGAGAAGACTGTGGGCAGAGCACAGGCATGGGAGAAAATTGCCAACATTCTCAACAAAAGAGCAGAGTTTAAAGTTAACAAGAGGTCTGTAAGAGATCATTATATGGTCCTGGTGGAAAAATTAAAAAATAAAAGACTTCACAATAGTTAAAAGCCAGTGGCATCAGTCCCGAGCCAACCAAGCTGGACAGACTACTCAAAGAAATCATAGAGAGAGCTGAGGCCTGTGATCAGTCAAGAGACGAGGAGGATGAAAACACAAGAGAGAAATAACAGAAAGAACAAGAGCAAGCTAAGGATATCAGGCTCAAAGCCATGGACAGTAACTCACTTTGCTTCTTTACCAGT